GTTGTTCAACCTGTGCTGTGCCTCTGATGATCTCATTTCTAATCTTATCCAGCCTTGACACTCCTAAGGAGAACCTTAGCATCTTCATTTCTGCCACTTCCAGTTCTTTCTCCTGTATTTTTGTCAATGCCACTTTCTCCACACCATACAATATAGCTGGTCTCACAACTGTCTTGTAAACTTTTCCTTTGACCTTTGCTGACACCCTTTTGTCACAAATCACTCCTGAAACTTTTCTCCATCCTGCCTGGGCTCTCTTTTTCACTTATTTATCACATTCCCCATTTTCCTGGACAGTTGACCCCAAGTACTTGAAGTCCTGCACCTTTGTGACCCCTGCTCCTTGTAGCCTCACTGTTCCACCAGCCTCCCTCTCATTTTCACACATGTACTCTTGTCTTACTACAGCTGACTTTCATTCCTCTTCTTTCAAGTGCATACCTCCACATCTCCAAGTTCTCTTCCACCTGTTCCCTGTTCTCACCACAGATAACAATGTCATCTGCAAACATCATCATCCATGCAGGTTCTTGCCTGACCTCATCTGTTTGTCGGTCCATCACCAGAGCAAACAAGGAGAGGCTCAGAGCCGATCCTTGATGCAATCCCACCTCCACCTTGAAGCTATCTGTCACTCCTACAGCACATCTCACCACTGTCCTGCTGTCCTTATAAATGTCCTGTACCAGTCTAACATACTTTTCTGCCACTCCAGCATGCAATACCACACCTCCTCTCTCGGCACTCTATCATATGCTTTTTCTAATTCCACAAAGATACAATGGAGTTCTTTCGGACCCTCTCTGTACTTCTCCATCAGCATTCTCAAACCAAAGATGGCATCCGTGGAGCTCTTTCTTGAATATACAAAACCATACTGCTGCTCACAGATAGTCACATCTCGTCTAAGTCTTGCTTCCACAACTCTCTCCCAGGTCTTCATCGTGTGGCTCATCAACTTAATTCCCCTGTAGTTGCAACAACTCTGTACATCACCCTTGTTCTTAAAAAATGGGCACCAGCACATTTCTTCTCCAATCCTGAGGCATTTTCTCACTCTCAAATATGCCATTGAATATTTGAGTCAAAAACCTCACTGCCATCTCTTCAAGACATTTCCAAACCTCCCCTGGTATGTCATCAGGTCCTACTGCCTTCCCCTTCTTCATTCTTTTCAGAGCTGTCCGGACTTCACCCTCACTAATCTTTCCCACTTCCTGGTCCACAGTTTATATAACTTCTACTCTTCTTTCACTTTCATTCTCTTCATTCATTAGCTCCTCAAAGTACTCCTTCCATCTTCCCATCACACTCTCCTCACTTGTTAGAACATTACCATTCATATCTTTAATAAGCCTAACCTGCTGCACATCCTTTCCAGCCTGATCCCTCTTTCTTGCCAATTGGTACAAGTCCTTCTCACCCTCTTTAGTGTCCAGTCTCCTATACAACTCATCGTACGCCCTCTGCTTTGCCTTAGTTACTTCCCTCTTTGCCATAGATCCCATCTCCTTATATTCCTGTCTCCTCTTTTCAGTTCTTTCACTGTCATATTTATTCTTGGCTAATCTCTTTATTTTAACAGCATCCTGCACTTCACTATTCCATCACCAGGTTTCCTTATCATCCATTCTCTGTCCAGATGACACACCAAGTACCTTCCTACCTGTCTCTCTAATTACTGTTGCTATAGTAACACAGGCATTTGGAAGCTCTTTCTTACTACCCAGAGCATTTAACAGCGCCTCTCTGAATTTCTCACAACATTCTTCCTTCTTCATCTTCCACCATTGTGGCTTCTTCCCTGATTTTACTATTTTTCTCTTCTTCACAACAAGAGTCATTTTACACACAACCATCCGATGTTGTCTGGCCATGCTCTCCCCTGCCACAACCTTACAATCTCCAATCTCCCTCAGGTTTCCTCTTCTACACAGAATGTAGTCGACCTGCATACTCCTTCCTCCACTCTTATAGGTCACTCTATGTCCCTCCTTCTTTTGGAAATAGGTATTGACTATAGCCATTTCCATTCTCTTGGCAAAATCCACCACCATCTGTCCTTCCTGGTTTCTTTCCTTTACACCAAACCTACCCAACACTTCCTCATCCCCTCTGTTTCCTTCACTAACATGTCCATTCAGGTCTGCTCTGATCACCACTCTCTCCTCCCTGGGAATACTCTCTATCACTTCATCCAAATCTTTCCAAAATGTATCTTTCTCCTCCTCATCACATCCAACCTGTGGAGCATAACCACTGATGATGTTTAGCATCAGACTTTCTACTTCTACCTTCAGGCTCATCACCCTATCTGATACCCTTCACCTCTACTACATTATTTGCCAACTCCTCCTTTAGGACCACCCCTACCCCATTTATCTTTCTATCCACACCATGGTAAAACATTTGGAACCCTGCTACAATGCTGCAAGCCTTGCTGCCCTTCCACTTGGTCTCTTGGACACATAAAGCATCTACCTTCCTTCTCTGCATCATGTCAGCCAGCTCTCTACCTTTGCCTGTCATTGTCCCCACATTTAGAGTTGCAACCCTCGGTCCTACATTCTTCACTTTCCTCTTCTCCCTCTGTCTACCAACACGTTTCCCTCCTCGTGGTCTTCGGCATTATTAGTTGAGTATTTATTCAAAATATTGTGATTAGTGCAATTTAAATTCCAAAATTGCTCATGATTGTAGCATTCACAGCAGTCCGGCATCTTCTGAAACATGATATGCAGCATTGCACAGTTAGTTTTTGAAGTTGACAGTAATTATGATGCCCCGACTGACTGCTCTTTGAGACAGATGCTGTGTTCACAAATCTTGAAGCAGGTCAGCTCCCAAACTGACTGGAAAATGAGACAAGAGGTCTCTCAGCCACAGTCAAGGTTCCCTGCTCTAACAAGAAAGCAGATGGCAGCTTATGAGAAGAAAAAAATATCTAAAAAGGAAAATCATTTGGAAAATCTTTCAAATTTCCAAAAAGGGTTCCTCTCCCTATAACACATTCCTTTACTACATTGTTGCATACAATTAGTTTTGAGTAAAAAAGAGCAGAACAAAACAAAATTATCAAGCAGATTTTACTCATTTGATCCACCTTCTGTGCTGTAGTTCAAGCACACATTTCACAATACATTCTGCCATGTTATATTAAGATGGAAGTAAGCTAATGAGAAACGTATACACACATATATATATATATATATATATATATATATATATATATATATATATGATATATAGATATATAGATATAGATATAGATATTGGTTCTCAGAGAAGAAGGTCACAGGACAGGGACCTTGCATGTGGGTTTTCTCTGATTACTCTAGTTTCCTCCCACAGAACATAAACATGCACATTAGGCTGATTGGTAACTCTAAATTATCCCTAGGTGTGAGTGAGAGAGTGAATGTTTGTCTTGTTTGTCTCTTTGTGTCCCTGTGATGGACTTGCAACCCGTCCAGGGTGTACCCTGCCCCTCACACAATGATTGCTGGACATGGGCACCGGTGACCCCTGTGACCCAAAATGGAAGAAGTGGGTAAAGATAATGGATGGATGGATATATACTACCCAGAAGCCAACAGTGCTCCAGGCCACGGCTTTCTTGTAGTTTTATTTCAATAAGCATACACTGACAACTCAAAAGAACAACATAACCCAGAAGCCAACAGTGCTTCCAGCTGCTGCTTTCTTCCAAATGGAGGGAACGCTTTGCAACACAAATCTACGCTATCCATTAAGCTCACAGAACTGGCAGGAAAGTCACATATAAATTGAAGTTTCCTGAAGCTCAATTATCCATGTTCACATCAACCTGGATGGGGAGGTGGGCTTTGATGCTGCAGGGTACTGTAGGTCTGCTAAACCAAACTGAGCCTGACCGGAACCGAGCTGCAGTTCTGAAGAGCTGGTGAGTAAAATTTTGCAGTACTGTACAGTACATATACATATGTTGTTAAAATGACGTAGGTTCAAGAGTTTAGAACATTGCAAGAGTGTGGGAAAAGTTTAACGACTCTTAGATCATATATAAATACTTAAATAAATATAGTGTTGCTACTTTGCGGTTTTTCTCCTATCGTGGGGGTGTTTGGAACATTATCCCCGCAATAATTGAGGGACCACTGTATTTGGATTTCTACAATTTAATGTTATGGCAAATATTAACGCTGAAATGTTACATGTTTTTGCCAGCCAATATGAAAGTAATGCTTGTACCTACGTCCGTTTTCTTTTTCTGGAATTCAAAATAAAGGCAATCAAATAGTGAGCAGAGTTTTTAAACTACAAAACACATTTCTCATCAATGTCTCGTGACCAGAAGCATTTAAACGTTTGTCAGTCCCTAAAATACCAACACTGTCCAGGAAAAGCAGTTCCTCCAACAAACATCCATATTCTTGCGTTATCTCTAAATGGCATCCAGCCAGTTAAGAATAAAACAGGAAAAGCGCCAGTGATGCAAATTTTCATTCCTAGTGTTATTTGAAAAATAAAATAAAATAAACACTAAGATATGGTTTATACAATTGTATTCATATGTTTAAGTACAGAAGGCAGATTGCTCAAGAAATAAACAAAAGAGAGAACAACAAAACAGTGGGAGCTAAAAGTGGGTAGGAAATAAAGAGAATTGTGCCTCTGCTTCTCAGCGGCAGAAACCCATAACATTAGATTAGTTTATTGTTCTGCTGTGAAAAGTTATGTGCAGAATGAAAAGAGGTGTGGCAGTTTAGAGAGAGTCTGAGGAAAATACATTATGTAAGATAAAATGCAATTTGTTCATGTGAGAAAAGGCTCTGCCATAAAATTGCATCAGCAAGCAGGAATAACGATTCCTTTGTAGCTACAGCTTCCATTAAATAAAAATCCCAACCCAGTGTTAGAGCAGATGTAACCGCTAAAAATCAAACATATTAATATGGTCATGAGAAAAAATAATGTAAGGACACTAGGATTGAAGAAAAATAAACAAATTGATTTCTTACCTGAAACGGTCCTGACAACCTCAGAGTTGTTTCTTAAGCCAACAAAGGAGAACTGGTAAAGCCTCCATGAACGAATATCCCCAACCTCCACTGAGCTCCTTTTCCACTTGTACACAATCTCCTCCTTGGGGTAGCCATCTGAAGAAGAAGAAACAGTTTAAACATCTGGGAGATTAATAAA